GTCGGGCTAGCGCATGTATTGTACCTATGTATCTGCATTACATGTTTGCGTACATGGATATCCAGAGAGAACTGACAGAGTGTCCGGTTGTATAACAGGCCTGTTGTATAAGTGCAGGTGTGTAAGTTGAGGTTTGATGACGCGCCAATCTGCTGCCTTCAGGTTACGCCGTTGCATGCAGGTGTATGGCAGCCCGCGTTGCCTCTTGCTTCCATTCTTCAAGGTCCCGATTGTATAGGTATTGAACTCGAACATCCAAACCCGGCGCTCCGGCTTTTGAGTGTACGGAGGTAGGTAGGCAGCAGCAGCAGATAAACTTCAGGCTCCCTGGTGCTTCAAGTGCTCGCACCTGGTTTGTAGATACCCTGACAAGGAAGCGGCGGTTAGAGGACCTCGGGAGAACCTGCCTGCTCGCTTGCCTCCTACGTGCCTGCTATGATTGTAGCCGACCCTGTTGGTGTGCTCTGTTGTATACCTGGCGGTTGCATGTCTGGCATGTGTGATACCTAGGTAGTAGTTGCCTTCCACACCTACACCTAGACGCACACCCACACACACTTCACAGATATTACACACATGAATGGAATGGACGCTGATACGCCCCGTCGCCTGCTACAAATCCTCGGGCAGGCGGAATACCCCATTGGACTTGAACCACGCTTGAACTTATCTGCTTACTTGTATGAACGGAGAAGGGCACGTCAGTGCGTGAACCTCTGGTGGGCAACGGTGGGCTTTCGTAGCGGCGCATATACGATGTACCTTTTATGATTTTATGTAATTGCCAGGACGCACACACCGATACACGTCCAATGCACACGTTCATGGGTGTTGGCTGGTGACCACGAATCGGAAGAACACGTTTCATTATCAAGTAATTACAAGCTCAATAGCTCAAGACGGCTCAAGTGAAATAACGCCAAGGTCAAAGCCATGATTAGAGGCTCGTTTCAAAGCAAGGCTGAGGACCTGGAGGAGGATGGGAAGCGATTCGGGTAGAGTGATATCAACTTCACATTGGTTGGCTGTTGGTCAGGCGACTCACTTCATGGCAACTTCGACCTTGGGAATGACGACCTGACAAGTATGAAGTAAATGCCCCTGTAATTTGGCCAGGATACTGTGCATATTGAATAAATGCTAGCGCTGAATACCGGAGGTCAATCAAAGGACAGTTCTCAACAAACGTTACCACGTGCATATCATTCAAACCAACCATATTGTGGACAATTGGCAATGGCAGAGTCCATTGACTAATGATAACTCGGAATAGCTAGAGATCTGTTACCGACATCTTCAACACCCTGAGTCCCTGACACCTGCCGTTACCCACACTGCCACACAATCAAGAGCCGAAACGGCAGGCAGTTTCCTTATCATTCATGATTACTTCGTAGCACTGGGCTTACTGCGCAGACTGATAAGTGTAGATAGGTACGTAACCCCGAAGTCCTATCGTAGGTATGTTGATAAGTTATAGCTGGCTTGAGGGTCATGAGGTAGCACAGCCAACCAAATGGCGCACGTTATCGCTCCCTCTGTCCGCCAGGAACCTAGTTAGAGGGCGACGAAAACAACCCGGGCTGCCGGGGTTCCTGCTTCGCGACTCAGTATAGGAACGTGATTTGACAACTGCGTGTTGGTAATATGTAATACGCAATACGCAATACGCAACTCCTTATTAGTCTTTGAATAACTAATTTAGGTACCTGGTGCTAAGTGGTATGCACATATGTACGTAGTAATTAGTCTATAGCCTGACGCGATGATAAGAGGATGGCCCGCGACCTCGGAAGATGTGCTTCAGTCCGTCCTCTTCTCCTTCTAGCCTGTTCGCCCCCTTTCTGATCTGGACTCAACAAGTAACAGCTGTACGTGAACCAGCAAAACTCCGAATCTTCATCCGAATCTTTAGAAGCTTAGTTGTTCGAGTCGCCTTTGTGTGTGTGTGTAGAACTGTGTTCCGTTTGGAGACCGCATTCCCTGCAGATCCTCCCCTTCCGACCTTCAACGTCATCGCTCACCTACCGCATCGCCATTGCCGTTATCGATAAGCCTGACAAACGGCTGCCGCATTGTCATCGACAACCGTTTAATTAAGGCTTCTGGGTCATCGTCGTCTGAGTCATCGGCCAATGAGCAATACTTGAAAGCTGAAGGCTCCCGAAGACTCATTGTTTCTCTATTACGAACAAAGCCTCCTTTGCGCCTGACTTTGTGGTGCACCTGCTGCTTACCCGATCACTTCTTTCACTTACGAGACAAAGGCGCTTTCCCCCCCTTGCAAGCAGCCAGTTGAGTAACCGGCACAAGACCGTCCTTACCTCATCGACATAGCCGCCGTGTGACCTGATCTCGTCCTTTCCAGAACCCTTCCCCCTAGTGAATTTCCTTTGGACATCCGCTCTTCTTCACAAACCTATAGATCAACTATTCTTGACCACTTCTTCGACTTCTTTTAATTCCACAACCCACCCTACTTCGTAGTATATTTCTCCAGCTGTGCATCGTCATTGTAAAGGGTCTTGAACTCTTTTGCATCCCCATATTTCCAGTCTATTCTGTCAAGTAAGTCTTGGTATCATCATCCTAAGGGCCCAACCAAGAACAAAGAAGCTTTCAAGGGTATAAGTCTGCAACGCAAGCTGGTGTCTCCCGGACAGACGTCATCTTTTGTAACCAACATACCTCTGGCGAATTCGACCTCATCTCCCCCAAGACAAACAAACATGGCTTTTGAGCAGACCAAGGATTTCCGAAGTGCCGCACATTCCTCGAAGCGCTTCAAGGAGCAGAAGACAAAGTGGTCTTTGGGAGCCCGACCATCCTCGGGAGTGTGGTGCAGTCCTTGGGATTCCAACGTGCTGCTCACCGGTAGTGAGAGCCAACGGGAAAAGATCCGGCCCATTCCTCAACCCAAGAGGTAAGTTGGTCCCTAGGCTAAAAGCAGGGAGACGTCTGGTGGACTGAACTTGGCGCTGACTTGACCCGATAGCCGTCACCATAAGTCACAGAATGTAGTCAAGACACGGAACGCGCGCGTAACGCAAAACTTCCCGCAGAGCTATTCGCGAGCCAAATCCGAGGCCATAACGGAGTTGAACGATCCCTCCAACACCACGCGATCATCGATCTATGAAATGCTGTCTTCTCCCGTGGAGCGGCGAGCGAGCGGTTCGGATAACTTCCTATACAGCTTCGATAGAACCGAGACGCCGGGCAAGCCCCTGTCGCTCGAGGTATTCCTCAAGACGAACCCGAGGGAGACAGAGAAGCTCGTCGAGAAAGAGTACGAGATCCTAGATGGCAACGGAGAGCCCCTTAAGGGTCGGAAGGCTCGGCGCGATCTTCGGCGACAGAGCCCTCACGCGATTCTAGAAGAACCGGGGACCATCGAGGACGAGGGCTTCGAGCTGATTTAACCCGGCGTCATGTTGGGCCTACCCAGGCCCATCTGGCACGACACTCGCTTGAGTTTCCCACACGATATCTTTCTTGGCAGTACAGTTCCCTAGCTCTTGTAATTTCCTCATGTACACTTCCACTTCTGCATCGTATCGTCATAACTTCGGAGTTTGGTGGCGGCAGTGCGAAGTTCGGAACGAGAGTCCGCGGCGGGGTTAGAGTTTTCGCTTCGTTAATCAGACACGACTGGCATGAGTTTGTTTCATTCTTCCTGAGCGTTCAGGAGAGCGCGCATTGCCCGCAAGAGGGATTTCTGTAATAGACCTTTTCTTTTCTTCGCTGCACTCGCTATACATGGGTAGACTTAGCTTTATACATTAGTTAGCTAGCCAGTCATGACTTTATATGCATGGCTGGCTTTGAGATGACCTGTGTTTTCTCCCGATTCCCCGTGCAAGACGTGACGGCCAGAGCAGAGTGAAATCTTTTTATGGCGTGCTACGGCATGGCGTCTTCAAATCGAGATGCATAGCCTTCGAACCACTGGACCATGGAGAATTCATCTTCGGTCTTCAGCACACCTGACTGAATCTCGCCAGTGCAGTAACTGTATGACTGTAAAGGGTTGATTTGAGTTGTCTCGCGAATAACCCACACCAAGCATGTTGCATGCGCGTGCGATTGTTGTGAAAAGTGCAGCCGCCCTCGGGATTGAGGGAGGAGATCGGGACAGCCATTTTTTGGTGGGAATCTGAAAAAATCCGATTATGTGTGGAATTCTATGGTTCGTGCGTGTATTATGTAAGAATGAGGTCACGTTATCTCATCCGTTTAGGGGCGTTTTCCATTACAACTGAATGTGCTTGGCTATCGTCCCTCCATTATTCCATCTCTACAGTGTTCCTTGGCTTCAATGATCAATGGTTTTAAAACTCACATCTCAAGTCGTTTCCCCCGTGATATTACGTGGAGGTTTCCCCTCAAGTCTGGTATTCAATTTCTTATGAGAAACCTTCTCTCTCGAAGACAGAGGAGGACGGAACTTAAATCTGCGATTCAGGACGCAACGTGACTGAAATGCAGTGAGACCCGTATTTGCGGACGGGGTTCCCGTGAGAGCCGCAATGCCCTTCTCGTGCGTGCCAGATAGGCGGGATGCACGGCCACCGACTCGTGAATCCGAATTTGCCCTCGAGATGACGGCAAGGCATGTATAACCATGTCGGAAAGCCACGGAGAGAGCAAGCGCGAATGCGGTATCGTCAATAGTTAGCGACGGTGCCTACTACGCGCCTTGAGGCTCAAAGATACCCTCATCAGCCGTGATATCCTAGGTCAGGTATCTAGCCTCGTTCCCGATGCCAGTCAACTAATCAAACAGGTAGTGGAGCAAGGAATTCGCCTATTAAGTAATATCCTCGGATTACTAGACCACTTTAGTCCACCGTGTATTGTTCTCTTTTCTTGTCTGCCGAAGAGACGCCTTTTTTGCGACGGCCTGGCCTAGTTAGCCCATTCTCAGCAGCCCGGCTTGAAAACCCTTTCCAGTGCAACGGTAAACATGTCCCACTTCTGTCTGAAGAGGACCACAGCCTCCCTTGGTGGTGTAGATGGTTATCGCGTTCGACTGTAATTGATCTTTGATATTGTAAATCGAAATGTCGCCGGTTCGATTCCGGCCCGAGGGAAGTTTTCTTTTTGCACTTCGTTTTTTTTTTTTTTTTTTTTTTTTTTTTTTTTTTTTTTTTTTTTTTTTTTCCCCTTCGTCATCGTACTCGCTGGTTTTTCATATGGGGTCGGGGGAACCTCTCTTTTTTCCCTTTCTTCTCAGTTCACGCCTAACCCAAACCCACGGTCATGTTGCCAGTGCCGGATTTATTCTCCAGAACCTCCAGCCTGCCACCTTGCAAACACTCATTGATTCATTACACTGTACCTAGTTTCCCGAGATGATTCGTTGATTGGGAGGGCGGAAGGGGGGAGGGGGGAAGTACGAACTACCTACTCAATGGCTCCCACTTCGCATTGCTACCGAGCAGAGCCTCACTTTGGAACAAGGCCGAGTACTTAAGTAGCAAGTAACCTAGAAAGTCGCGGCTACTGGCTAAGCAACTACGAGAAGGGAATGGATAGTAAACCACGGCCCAAGGCAGCCCTAGTCTAGGCGCGGATACACGATCATGATAGACAAGCTCTCGTGAATATGATTTGCCTGAGACCACGCCCCGTAGGATAAGGGGAAAGTATAGCGTCCCCTATCAGTCCGCACGGCGGAACACTGCAGCGTACGTAGACAACAAGTGCCAGTCTGGGTAGAGTTGAAGGTAGTCGCTTGAGTCGTGAGGAACAAAGCAATACGGCGCAGTTCGAGAAAGGGACCGGGGAGGTTCATTCGCCTGAGCCCGAATTCAGGAGCTAGACAAGCAGGCCCAAGTCGGATCTTATCAGTCTAGCTGTCTACGTGTGTGAGGACTATCTCGCTCGCCCAGAGTGGAAGTGCTCGCGAACTAAGTTATGGTTTGAACTCGGTATTCCGACCTTAAACCTTATACTCATGAGGGCCCAGGGACACAAGCACCTCCTTTATATACCCAAATCGACCTAGTTCTCCTAACAAAAGCCGCGTGGTGTAATGGTTGCACACTCTCACAAAAACTTTCTTTGAATCCTTACTATGTACTACTTCTTCCCACCTGATGAGAGAGGGGCAGGTTCGATTCCTGCCGTGGCTATTCTTTACCCCCATTAAATCCACATGCCCGCCCCTTCCTGAAATCTTGACTTGAAGCCTTATGAATTAGACCGCAGACTAGAACAGGCTCTCGGATGCTTATTAAGAGGCATGAATGGCTGTCCCCTGATCCTACAACATATCATTAGCGTTTTGTTGAGGAGGATATCTGCCCCTGGTAGTCGCAGCGACAATGTTGGGAGCCCATCGTAAGACATAAGGTCCTGGCCTTACCTTTCGAAACCCTCGCTGTTTCTCCCCCCTCTTGTTCCCGAGACGGCACTGTATTGATTGGGTACAAGCATCCATCTTTCACATAGACTTGCTAGCCTGTTTAAAACCCGAAGCGTGACGGCTCGGCGTACCAGCTTGATTACGGGAAGACTGGCATTCTGACACTCGAAGTGCAAAGGTATGCTCTTCGCCGCTTTATACCCAGACCTGGCTGTCTGGTTTGATCAGAGAGCAGGACTGCTTATCTCTGGGCCTGAAAAGGAGCACATTGACGTTCCCATGTCTCGTTGCACACATTTCTCATCAAGGCCCGAGGTGCTCTGCGTCCCGTCATGAGCTCGAATGCCTCCATGGCCATTTCGCTTACAACTTCTAATCCGTCGACGATAACCCATGTATGATTTCCTTGCTCTCTGATGTGGCGTATATGCTTGACCAGGGGGGTTATAAGGGGCTCGTAAGCTAGCTATGGTGTATCATCTTGTCAGAAGGAGTCAAGCCGGTTTGCGAAAGGAACAAGACTTACCTCGACAACTACGCCACCGGTCGGGCTTTTCAACCACTGAGGTGGCATTCTGAAATCTACTGGCGGCGCATCGTCGGTTCCCGAAGCCGGGATGCAGGATAAGACCATCGTAGGCTGCTGATACCCATCTGGCCATGGTTCAGACGAAGAATCAAGGACTTGACATATCCGGCCGTCCACATTATGCCGCGCTAAGAGCTGTTGCTCCCGCGCGTATTTGTTGAAGTGCCCCGCGACTCGCTCTGCGTTCGACCTCGTTCGGTTGTAAATGAAAATATTCCGACAGCCGAGCTTGATCAATGCATATATCGCAGCGCGAGCCATCCCCCCAGCTCCAATAACCAGGCCTGTAGTCCGAGACGGCTGGACATAGTTCCTAGGGCTAATCGAGCGACGCAGACATGTCACAATCGCACTCCAGTCAGTATTGTTCCCATAGAACTTAGTCGCAGTTCCGGCAGTGTTTCGGGCATTGGCGTGATCCAGAATGGAGGATGTCTTGCCGCGAAGAGGCAGAAGGGTGTTCACTGCACCAATAGCTGTGGCATGCGAGCTAAGGTGCTCGCAACGGGACATTATTGCAACCTTAAACGGAGCAGTTAGTGAAGCACCGCCGAAGCTATGGCCTGATCGGAGCCAATCAACCTCTTCGATTGATTTACATTGTCTCGCGTCGAAAGTGTGTGGCATCACTATGGTTGACTGAATCAGCAGAGCCTCGCACGAGCATTTCAATATGATTATTTCCATGAAATTGATTCTCTCATAACATGGAGTGAGAAAAGCAAAAGGCTGATTAGGGGGGGTGGGGGCTGTCCTATCTCTAGGTACTGACTTACTGTAGTGCTCATATGCAGCCCGATGCATTGCGGGCGAAGCTGAATAATAGACGTTAGAGCCTAGGGTGTAAAAATTCAGGGGCTGCAACAGTCCCTGTCGAAATAACAGGCGCATAGCCCCTCGAGAGGTCTGCACGCCTGATAACCACTCCCGGGGTGAGGCCTCAAGAGAATTATGGCCAACAGGGTTGAAGGATATATTCTGAAGGGCACTTGTAGCCCCGAGCACAGAAAAGTCGTAGGCTATAAGTAGAGGCTTCGGTTCTGGTAGCGCGTTGATCTTGTTCTTGAAGATTCGCCAATTTTCCTCGGACTTATCACCCGCACAGAACCTGCCGATGCGCACGATGTGACACCCGAAGGACTGGGCTCGCAGGAATCGTTCGACGTAGATATCTTCGTTCCACTGCGGTTGTCCAAAACCCTTGACCACATAGTTCCCGATGATTTTGGTTCGCCCACGCATGTCGAGAACATGCGAGACTAGGTCATAATTCCTTTCCAAGTCGAGGCTCAGATACTCAACCCCTAGTCGCAGACCATGCAACATCAACTTGAGGTCCATTGTGTCTCTCTCCTCCTGTGGCCGCCGACGCTCCCCCCTCGGGTTCTCTTCGACATTGAAGATAATTGGAACATCCAGTTTTCGGCGTATCAAGGCCACCTGCATTGCAATGATATCTAGTAGATGATCTGGCCAGGTGTCGATTATGAGCTCGACTGCTTCTGCCGAAGCTTCCAGCTCGTCCAGATTCGTTTTTGGATCCAACAGGGTAGAAAGGCGCAGGTGGAGCGCAAAAGTATAGAGCCGGTGCTCTGGCGGTATTGCGTTGATCGAAAAGGGATTCTCCATCCAAGAGCGAGTCAGGGTGTGGCCTAGAATCAAGTCGAGGAAGTTGATGAAATCCTGCCTCGCCCGTATCAGTCTAGCTGATGACATGAGTGTCGAGCGAAGCGTGGTCGGAGCCGTGACTTCCTCCTCTCCGCTAGAGTCGGAGAGGTTGTAATATTCAAGATTGGAGAATTCCCGATGCTTCTGATCAGCAATCATCAGGCGGTCCACGTCGTGAGGGGACAACTTCAACAGGCGATACAGGTCTTCCTTGTCGCGATGGATATACACCACCGGATTCGTCTCAGTATATGCCTGTAGGATTGCTTGGGTCTCCGTAGAAAGGGTTCCCGTTCCACATTCTATAACGCAGTGACTTCGATTCATCCCGATCGTCTGGGCAAGAACCCGGGCCATCTGCGCATTCAACGCATCTCTTCCATATTTCTGGAGGAAGCTGGCCCGGTTATATCCAGCAGCCTGTTCGAAGCAGTGCTCTTCGGTGAGGAGACGCCGCCCGAGGTGCTTGGCTGCGATGAAACCAAGAGTTCGCTTCCCAGCCCCCCGGCATCCTACGAGGATGATCGAGGCGTCCGGGTGAAAGATGCCGTGGTTTGCTTTCATCGGCTTAACTGGCGAGCTTACGCTCTCTGGAGTAAGGATTGCAGAAAGTGTAGCCGACATAGCTATCGGGAGTGGCACCTCGCTACTTTGTCGTAGACTAACTGTGACCTGACACCTATGTCTTCTAATTTCTTCTTCCTTCTCTTCTTCTCTTTCTCTTGTTCTTACTCCCCTGTTTATTTCTTTTCCGCCAAGACCAAGTTCAATTCCCGCTGGTCTTACGTGCTCTCCGTATTAATCAACTGGTTCCCCGGATGAAGCAATAAAGTTGGGTATAGTTCCAAACCCCCTCCCCAGTCTCACAACATGCAAGAGAATCGAGGAGAAAGACGTTCGCTTCCACGCGCACGCATGCCTTTTTGCATCAATAGTCTTCTCGACAACTAGGCGAAACTTGCATGCCTTTCGATCGATGAAGCAGGTTATTCATGGGGTTGCGGATATCCCATCAGAAATGAAATGGTGCATTTAACCCTCGGGGTGCAAGTGCATCTCTTAAGATAGAGGGCATGAATGAATAACGGTTTGTCATCATGCCATTGTGCCTGGAACAGCCCATGCTTAGCGATAAATGATATGACTGACGGGTGTTACAGAGGAGAGGGCTGACTACAAACCTGCCGGGTAGTTAGAGGTTCGTTATCGTTAGTAGAGGTAGCACGGCAACATCATCGGCAAGCAGGGGTGATATTCCCCGATGGCAAGTACCTACCACCTGCACTCTCAGGTACGAAGCAACTACCTACTGTATGTAGGTACGAAGTACCATTAATAATTATGCACACATACATACCACCTGCAGCAGCTCCACCAGCGACCAGAGCAAGAATAGCCGAGAATTAGCCCCCTCCATCCACATACCGAGCTTGGCGTCTTCGTACCTAGTCCACTGGACCTACCTAAGTTAACAACGGTCTACAGTTGCCCGGCCCATCCTGCCATCTCAACATCGGTGTCAACCAACACCAACACCTGCATCATTCAGCTGCGAGGAAGGGAATTCCGGGCGCATTCATTCAATTCACTCCGCTACACAACAGGCGCCCTCCCGAGATGTGGAGGCCATAGGCGGTCACTGACTTGGGAAGCAAAACTGCCAATTTGCCTCAGATGTTTGCCGTCGTCACTATCACCTGGGCTGTCAGTTTGAGGAGCCATTTCTAAGCTCCACTCCTGCGCCGACTGGACAGAAGCCCGGAAACCAAAAAAAGGGGTAGAGGGGGCAACCCATACAGATTACACAGTGGAGGCTATGAGTGATGGCGAGAGTGATGACGGCAAGCGCGCGTCCAAGAAGCGCAAGGCGAGTCGCGCTTGCGACCGTTGCAACTCACAGCACCAGCCCTGTGACAATGCTTCTCCCAAATGCAGTGTCTGTGAGCGTGCCGGCACCGACTGCACTTATAACAGACCTGTGCGTAAGCGAGGTCCCCGGAGCGGCTACACCGGCCAGAACGGCGAGCGCCTATGGAGCATAGTCCTCCAGGCAAGGCCGGAACTCGAGGATTTGGTGCTGCAGATCCTCCGAGGCAGCACTTATGGCAATACAGGCATCTCGAATTACGACTACTTCAAGAACAGTGAAAACCAGACGGAATTAGTAAGTCGCTTCAACGAGAGCCGCCTCGGACGATATCTCCAGCATGGGGAGTCGCCAGACTTGATGCTGCCCCCCATAGACGAACAGGCTCCTATGGTCTCGCTTCAGTTACACCAGGACCTCACTCCCAAGTCGCAATCCTCGAATCCAGCCGTCCAGGTCGATGTGCCTGGACCAGCCGCGAACGCAACAGGCTCCATGCTATCGTCAATTTCCCCATCTAGCACGGTTATAGTGAACCCCCATGGTGCTCCGCAAAACCCGGGTGATATCTATCTTCAGAGCGACGAAATTAGGAAGCGCACGCCTCACATGGACCAGGCCCGGAGCCATGGACACATTGGAG